TGAGTGCCACAGGTGCAGGTTACTTATAGAGCCATCTGTCCTTTTTGCTGAAGATAAGGGTGGATGAGAATGGACTTCTCAAGTTCCTGAGGAATTCTGCCTTTTATCTAAGCACCAGAAATCCTCTTATTGTCTAGATTGAGGTGAGCTTTGGACAAGACAGTGGGTCTGCCCCTTTTGGGGGTGAGGCAGAATACCCTTTGTGCCTGACAACCCCAGAAAAAGACTCTGGCATGTGATTACTTGGTCCCCAGTTGGTAGTCTTGTTTAGGTGGCTTAGGAAGTGTGGCCTTGCTGGAGGAAATGAGAGCAGGTTTTGAGGTTTCAAAGCTGCACATGGTTACCAGTGTGTTGTCTCTGCTTCCCGTGTGTGGCTAATGAGCTCTCAACTGTGCCTGCTGTCTCCTGCCTCCAGCCATGATTCTGTGACCCAATGGACTCTTATATGTCTAGAACCATAAGCCCTTACTTCTGCATGTTGTCTTGGTCATAATGTTTTATCATATAAATAGAAAAAAGTAACTAATACATTAAACAACACAAACAACTTTGCTGCAGCATGAGTTTTGTTTGTATAATTAATAGAACAACAATGGAAGCTTTTCCACTTCACCTTTTGGTTCTTACACAGCTAAACAGGTTGCTAGGGTGAGGTGTTGATCATCACTGTATCAATTTTGTTTCTCTTTGCATGACTTGCATCTGCAAAATCATTGTAGCACTGTTATCTTATACAGAATATTTCCAGTATCAATAAAAAATTACACATTATTCTTTTATCTATATAAAATTATTTCATTTAAAATTATTCTGTTAGCTATTTAGTGTGTGTGCTTGTCATGGCACAGCACATGCAGCGGTCGGATGACAGCTCTCAGGAGCCAGGTTTCTCTTTTCATCTCGGGCCCTGGGAATCAAACTCAGGTCATTAGGCTTATTTGTCCAATGCCCTTCCCTACTGAGCCAAGCTGCCTGCCCAGAAAATTCCTTTAGTATGAGTGTGTGGTTTCTAAGGAAGCATGACAAGAGCTTTCCACATAAAGAGCTAGGCCCGTGGGCTGCTCTTGGTGGTGTGAGTGAGGAAGTGAATGCAGCGATTTCTTCTTTCTCTTTTTCTGTAAATGCGTGTTTTGCCTGCATGAATGACTGTGACCCACCAGAGTCCCATAGAGGCTGGAAGGGGGCATTTGTTCCTTAGCAACTGGAGTTACAGAGACTTGTGATCTGCCACACAGGTGCTAGAGATTGAAACCCCAGTTCCCTGGAAAAGCAGCCAGTGCTCTTAACTCCTGAGCCATCTCTCTAGCACCCAGTGTTGAGGTCTCAGTGATTCCAGGGGATTTTAAAGAGTATAGGCTGGTGGTTTTATGGAGCATGAAAGAAATTTGGGGAACCAAGAAGAAAGCTCAGACTCTCTGGAACTGTGAAACAGGAAGATGACTGCACTCACACCTCTTAAAAACCAAAACCACAGAATGTTCCAGAAGGCTGGATAACAATTAGGATCAGCATCTCAGCTGGAGTACCTCAGTTAATCAACCAATCATAGTGGGTTTGAGATTATATGCAAACAATGACTGGTCCCTGCAAACATTTTGCAGAAACTTGAATTAAAAAATAAACAAATAAGACAAAACAATCCCCCAGTAATTCTCTGATTCACTCTATTTACAGAGTGATTGCTTCACCCCTCAACCCCTTAACAAGAATGCTCTTCCACTTGAGATTGCTAAATACTAGATATTCTCTTATCCTAGACTAAGGCTGTGAACCTCCAGACAGAGCATTATTACATGTATGGAAGTGTGTTATCCTCAGAGGGGCACACACAAAGGAGCTGTGATTCTTTAGTATAAATGAAGCACAAGACAGATGCCTCAAACCCCAAGTAACAAACACATGCCTTTGTGCTAAAATGACGTCTCAAAATTGTCTTAAGATGTTGGTGCTGGAGAGATGGCTCAGTGGTAGAGGCTCCAAATGGTGATTCCCAGCATTCATGTCAGGAGGCACCCAAGGAATCCAGAGCCTTTGGCTTCTGTGGCACTTGTGTTTATGGACATTTAATACTCTTTCTACACGTATACACATGGATAAAAATAAAAATTTTTAAATCTTACAATTTATTCCAAATTTCAATTTGCAGAAAGGCAAAATGCAAAATGCTTCATGGAATAGCTTAAACTGTTTGCGATGGTTTGGATGAGAACAGGCCCATAGACTCATATATTTGAATGTTTGGTTGCCCGGAGTGGCACTAGTGGAAAGCATTAGGCAATGCGGCCTTGTTGGAGCAGGTGTGGCCTTGCTGGAGAAAGTGTGTCACTGGGGGCAAACTTTGAGGTTTCAATCGTCTAAGGTAGGCCCAGTAACTTGCTTTCCCTGCTGCCTGCATGCTGCCAGGCTTGCCTGCCATGTTGCTAATGGGCTAAACCTCTGAAAGTATAAGCAAGACCCAATTAAATACTTTCTTTTATAAGAGCTCCAGCCATCATGGTGTCTCTTCACAGCAATAGAATACTGAATCGGACACTGTTTTAAAATGAACATTAATTAAATCGTGTCTTCCTTTATTGATCAAGCCAATGTGTACATAAAATGTCTACCTGCAAAACAGTTTCTACTTTCTCTTGAATTAATGTCTCTGTTTGACTTTCCATTGTTTTCCTGGGTTATAGATTGGCCTGGGAGGGGAGCACTGATGGAGAGAGTGAGGAATAAAATGTAGTTCGTTTAAAGTTTTCTTAATATCCATATATTTATACTATCCACAGCAATATTATTGGCAAAAAAAGGAATATCTGAATTCACAGGTTTTTTTTGTAAGTAAAACCTGCATATTCCTAGGCAGAACTTTAGGTCAGCTTTCTGGATATTGACAAATGACAAAATCAAGTCTTGTGAGTTGTGTCTGTTCACTGGTCAGGTTCACTGAGTCCTCACTGTGGGTCCAGTCTTGTTTCACATGTTTCAGACTGAGATATAAAAGAAATAGATCAAGATCCCTTTCTAATAGAGTTAACAATTTAGAAGGAGATGGACAGTCAAAAGTACAACACATGGTCTCTTAGAAGACAAAAAGTACCTTGGGGAAAAAGAGTCAGATGTTGGAGTGAGAAAGGGCAAACTGACCTTTAATCTAAGTCTTGAATGAAGTGAGCAAGCCAAAATTTTAGGCAAAGCCTTGAGATAAGAGAGATGAGAAAATGTGTTGTGAGCAAAGAAAAGTATCATTCACCATGTTCCTTTCTGCGTAGTGACTAGATAGTCTATGTCCAATGAGTAAGTACTGAGATAAAATAAATCATAAGGGCATAAAAGCAGTTTGGGAATGGAGATATATGACTTTGGGAAGCATTATCATATAATTTGTTTTAACATGTGGCGTGAATGACCAACCAAATAAGGCTAGATACGTGGAAGAAGACACAACAGTGAGTGGATACCAGAGAAGAAAGGACAAATGGAGAGGTTATTCCTACACCCATCTGAAATGTGTTTCTTCAAGTTGAGCAGAAAAGGGTAAAGATAAAGGAAGGATTGGAAGTGGATGTACTTAGAAGGTATGTTGTGTTGTTCCTTTATTAAATGGACTGGTAGAAGGAACATGAATATGGATGTGAAAATAATATCCTACAAAGTTATCAAATTTAGAATTTACTCATTATATTTTTACTGTTGAGCATTCTATAAATTTATTATTTTTTTAATTTATACAAGTATACAAAAAATATAATTGTATCTACTCACTCTTTCTTCCTCCAGTTTCTCCACATCTTCCCAACATGCCCCTTTCCCAATTTCAATTCTTTTCATCTTTTTCTGATAGTCTACTGTCTTAGTTAGAGTTTCTATTGCTGTGAAGAGACACTGTGACCACAACAATTCTTATAAAGGAAAACTTTTAAGTGGGGCTGGCTTACAGTTCAGAGGTTTAGTCCATTATCATCGTGGTGGGGAGTATGGCAGCATTTAGGCAGACATGGTGCTGGAGAGGTAGCCAAGAGTTCTACACTCTGATTTGAAGATAGCAGGGATAGAGTTACACTAGGCCTGACTTGAGAGCATCTGAAACCTCAAAGCCCACCCCTAAAACACATTTCCTCCAACAAGGCCACATCTACCCTCAAGGCCACACCTCCTAGTAGTGTCACTGCCTGTGAGACTATTGGAACCAATTCCAAATAGTCACATCTACTAAACTCCAGCTAGTGCTGCTCATATATGTATGGATATGGGGAACCTAAACGTGGCCGCATTCTCAGAGAAGAATGATTCTCCCTATCTATAAATTCTCAATTGCTCCTCAGCAAGGGATGTAGCCTGGAGATCATCTAGTCATCTATATCAGAATTTGAACAGATAATTACAGTTGCTGTGAATTCATGAAACTGCTCACCTTTTCTATGTTTGATGGTACATATACAAATTAACATAGAAACGCTAATAAGATTCTCTAACTCAAGATTAAGGGCTTTGTATGTAAAATCTTCTGCACTCAATATATTTATATGTAGAACTTCTAGAAGATTCTCAACCCGTATTTGTCAAATTATTAATATGTAACCTTTGCTGTTTATTGAGAATTTTATTATGTGGAAGCTTTACTTTTTGTTTAATGAGGACTCTAAGAACTTTTTTCAATACTTTTCCAAGAGACATATGTACCTACTGCCTCAACACCAGTTTATTGAGACAGATTGCACATTTTCCCCATAATTACTTGTCAGAACTCATTGGCAGGTAGACACGGTGGATGTGAAATTTCTAGCTATTGCAGTTAATGACACAGCCACTGAGAGTATGACTATATTTAAAGATAAGATGAATTGTTTCTTTTTTACCCAGATCTCTGTTCAAAGCCACAGCTTCGATCTATACTTATTTGGGAATGCTTTAAAAATCTGACATTGTTTCAGTGAGAGTTTTTTAATGGTTCTTGAAGGAGTAAGAGCCTAAGAAACCTGTTCCATCCTTCAAAAGCGAGCCTTGTTGCTTACCAGGATAAGAGGAGATGGCGTTGATGTGGGCTGCTCTGATGACACCCACACGGGGCCCCCGGTTATTCTTCATGCACATGCAGATGCATATGGCGATTCCTGCAATGACCCCCATGATGAACACGATTCCAAACACGATACCAGCAATCGCAGTGCCCCTAGGAAGGAAAACAAAAGCACGTTGGCCTCAATAGTCTGAAAGGAGTTGCGCCTCAAATACAGCTCATAGCTCTAAGTTAAGTGTTTCTTCACTTTTGTGCTTAAGGCAACGTGTTTTATTTATTAAGAGAAATCTTTAAATTAATTATATAATTGGTCTCTTGTATTCAATAGGTAAGAAAAACTGAAAACCTATTAAAAAGCTCTGTATGGTACCCTTGACAAACTCACCATTCAGATTCTGCCTTTTTTTTTCTTCAGATTCTGCCTTTATTTAATAAATTTTAAGTTAGAGAGATGGTTCAGCAGTTAAGAATGCATACTGTTCTTCTAGGGGACCTAGGTTTGTTTCCCAGCACCCAAGTAAGGCATCTGTTACTCCAGCTCTAGGGGATATATCTCTCTCTTCTGACCTTTGCAGACAACACACTTACATGGACATGCCCTGCCACACATACACACACACATGGACACACATGCCTCTTCACATACACATGCTTACATACACACAGAAATCTTTAAAGAATTTATAAATTTATAATAATATGAATCTCCAGTTATAAAATAGTAATTTAAAATAAAAAATAATCTAAAATCATTTGATTTGTGAATGGCTATAGTAGAAGTTCATTTGTATTTTAATAAATAAATCTTGCCTGAAGATCAGAAAAGTAAAACAGCCACACTGGTCAGCCTTACAGATCAGGCAGCAAAGACACACACCTTTAATCTCAGTAGCCATAATGACACATGCCTTTAGTCCCGTAGTCACACTAGCTTGCCATAGAAACCAGAAATAGTGGTGCACGGCCTTAATTCCAGAACTACAGAGGATTATAAAATGGAAAGAGATAACTCTCAGCCTCCTGGAGGCAGGATCACTATTTTTGGACTGAGATCGAGGTAAAAGCCAGGGACTAGTTGCTTGCTTTTCTGATCTTCAGGTTGAACTCCAGTATCTGTTTCTCAGTTTTTATTAATCATGCTACAAATGGAAAAAATAAGTATACTGAGCTAGGATAATATTTGTTTCAATGAAAAACCTTAAATTCAACTTAAAATTTATTCTTTATTAAAACGCTTCATAGAATAAAAGGGGCTTTTTCCTCATAAAACAAAGAAAACTGAATGCAACAGCTGTGCTCTTGCACAAATAAAGACAGACAATGGTCCAGTTATGTCTCTATGAAAATGTAACCATTTTTTGATTATTATAATATAAAGCATATTACAGGTATACCAAACAATCCTACAGGTCAGGCAGTTATAGAAAGGTTAAATCAAACTATAAAGGACATGTTCAACACACAAAAAGGGATGGAAAAATTACCCATGAATTAGATTGCATAATGATTTATTAACCTTGAATTTTCCTAACATTAATGAGAAAGAAACAAAGGCAGCAGAGAGACGTAGGATAATAGAAAAGACTTCTGAATTAAATCAGCTGATGTATTTCAAGGATGTATTGATCTCAGATAGAAACCAGAAGATGTGCTACATTGGGGAAGGGGTTTTGTTCTTGTTTTCACAGGAGAAGAAAAACTATGGATACCATCAAAATTAATAAAGATTCCATTTGAAAAGAAGAACCACTTTAGATAGAGAAATAATAGCTCATCCACAGAAGCGACAATTGTACGGGTGATAAGGAAACCTCAGAAGAGTTAGGGCAGGGTTTTGTTCTTGTCTTTGCAGGAAAATATACATCTTCAAAAAGCCAAGATTTTGGACTTTGGATGTATAAAGAGGAAAAGATAACTATTCAGAAAGGATCACTGAACAAAGAGAAATGTGACTTTTGAGGTCAGGTCATCTGCAACTTAAAATTTCATAGTACATTCTCTGTCCCCATATATATGTATATATATCATACATATGTATGATATATATATATATATATATATATATATATATATATATATACCAGTGGAAATGTAAACTCACTTAAAAAATCAAAGATGGCTTTGAAGTTGGACAATGGCTATCCTTCTCCAAATTTAAGCATGTTGTTAAAAGAAAAATTCAGAGTTTCTTCTTCATGTTAGAAGTCATTAATATGGAACAGAAAGAAGAAAGATTTCAGGAAAAATTTTACTTTTCTCCATACCTATTTTGTCTATATATCTTTCATTGAATATATTTCTATATGAATAATCCTTAAGGTTTTTTTTTTTTTTTTTACAATGAACAGTAGATTTTCCTGCAGTAATCGTTGAAGTTTCCAGGAAGAAGATGCGGCCCCACAACAACTCCACCTGGTTGATATGATATCATGATGCTGATAGTGCTACTTTAAGACTGGTTTTGGGTACCAGCTGCTCAAGATGGTTCTAACTTGGTTAAACTGAAATGGTGCACCTTTTATTTTCATTTATTTTAAAACATTATTTTCAGCCTCTTTCCTTACCTCTGAGTGTACTGATGCCATCTGTATCCTTTGAAGCTTTCTATACTCCTTGTGTTTTATCTGCCCTGTCTGAATTCCTTTCTTTTCATTGTACAATTTGATGACTCTCATGTTTAGTGTTCCATTCAATGTCTGGTCATCTATGAGTCCTCCCTGCTTTATTTTGGATGTGACTAAGGTCTGTTACCCAAAGGCACATGTGTTGGGAGCTTGCTCACCAATGTGAAATGTGAGGAAGTAAAAGGATGAGCCTGATGGGAGGAGGTCAGGTCTTTGAGAGTTTTCAGGATTTCCCTCACTTTCCTTGTTCCTTCTTACCTGTGTTCTCACCATGATTCCATCACTAATGTGATAGACACAGCTAGATGGGGTCTTGCTAGAGGTGGAGTCATGCTGTTTAGACTTTTGGATTTGAAAACTGTGAGATAAACAACCTCTTTTCCTTCTTTCTTTATAAAAGCACGGGTATTTTGTTATAGAAATGAAGTGTAGACTAATGAACCCTTCTTTCAAAACTTACCTCTCTGAGGAGTGGAAGGGGGATGTGGTGGGGGGGGGTAGGTTGAAGGAATTGGAGGAAAGGAGGAGTGGAAACTGGAATTGGTATGTAAAAGGAAAAAATATGGTTTGTTTTCTTAAAAAAAAAATAAAAAAGAGGTTCCAAATAGCCACTTGTAACCTTAGTGAGCAAGGCCGAAAGGCAGAATTTGATAAATGAAACTTGTAAGGTCAGTTTTCATATTTCTTTTTTTTGATGAGTTTCTTTTCCTCAGGAAAAGCAGATTTTTTTTCCAGTTTTGTTCTGGAAGAACATGAATCTAACTGGAAATTCCCTAAAGCTTGGACTTTTGGATGGAGAGGTATTGAATTTTCACAGGACCTCATATGTTTGCTCCAGGCACACAATCTTGTTCTGTCATGACTGCTGACTTTTACCTTTAAAACCATGGCTTCTGAAGGCAGACTACCCTCTAACTGCAGCTTGGACAACTCAAACAAATTGCACATCCTCTCTTCACCTCAGTTTTGGTGCTTATCAGCCGCTCCTGAGAGATTTCTTGTCCTGGATTTGTGTTCACGACTCATTTGCTGGATAAATAGATTCCTACTGCCAGGGCACTGTGCACATCTATCCCACATCTTCTATGATTAGCTCATAACCTCCACCCAAAAGCAAGGTATCTTACAAGCTAGAAAGATTGGAATGGTGAAAAGGACAATATGTGTGTGGCATATTGTATGACGGTCCCTGAGGCAAACTTGTATTCTGCAAACATTCGTGTTTCTACAGTGTAGGTTGGATGTTAATATGCACACATTGCCTAGAGACCACTAGGCAACCTTGGGTTGCTTCAAAGCCTCTTCTTGCACCAATCGACCCTTCCATGCACTTCTGAAATCCTTAAATGCTCTAAAAAAGTGAAAACAAAGAGTCTGAACTGATGTTACCTAGAAGACATTTCATCTCCAAGACTCTTACCCAACTCACTTAAGAAACAGAACGCCACTGAGGAATCCAAAGCACTCTTATTTACAGGAATTTTTATTTTGTTTTTGAATCACAGAGGTTGAACAGGTGGCAAATCTGGAAGTGTTTCTATAAGCAGTTAAAGAAAGGCTGAGTCTAATCATTTCACTGCAAAGAGAAAGACTTGTAGGCAGAGGTAATATGATGAAAAAAATGAAAAGTTATCAGGAAATCTCCTTTGTATTATAATTTTCAGTTTACGATAAGATTAAATTGGAGGACTTAATTTATGTCCTTGAAATAATCAATGGCTCAATTATTTAAGCAAAGAGTTTCCAAATCAAACTGGATGGACCCAATTTATATTCATTACTCCTCTTCTCTGAAACAGAAAAAAGTGGGGCATGAGGTGCATTTTGTCCCTCTGTTGACAGTTCTGGCGATGGCGCATCCCCCTAAGGTCATGTGGGTTGCAGCAGTGTGCTAAACGAGGTTGCTAGATTTTTCTGGATTAAATCTTAATTCTGGTGTCCTTGATCCTTTGCTGCCCAATAGCAATTGTAAATTAGCGCCTAATACACTCTAAGTATAGAATTTATAGCACCATTTATCAATTAAAAGAAAGAATAAACATTGCAATCTTTGGTATTTAAATAACTCGGTCAGAAAAGAGAGAAATTTAGTCTGCAAAGTTTAGCATCATTATTACTTGAAAAAAACTTTTAGGAATTTTTTTTTTTGAAAGAATGCTTTGCAAGATGAGCACATTTCTTCTCCCTTCATGATTTTTTGCTACAAGCCACAACATTATACAGTAATTGCTCAGCCATCTTTTCACAAGCAACTTATTCTGATAAAGACTAAACCAAAAAGTAAGGCTTTTTGGCGTTATTGCTTTGTGAATAAAGTGGTTGTCCTTTGCTGTAGATTTTTTGCTGTAGCTAACTCCCTTTCTGTTATGTATTTGGGAATTATTTCTCACAGTTCAGAACTGTTTAGTGAAAAGGGTTTTCCACTACCATGCCTTGTTCCTCTCTCCTAGGTAAGCACAGAGATCTGCCTTCCTGCAATTATCTTTATCAGCAGGCATTTGGGTCCAGGCATAAAGCATCCCATTTAAG